TATATATATATAATTTTTACTTTCTTGTTCTTTCCTCTTTTTCTTTCCTCCTGCCCCACTATCCTGTTTACCCATTGTTCACCTGTCAGTAATTCCTCTTGGATACATTTCAGTTGATCAAACACAACCAGGAATGCTCCTCCCTGTTAATTTTAGATTCCTTGCTATTCCTCTTTCCTTGTCATATTGGCTCACTGCTACCCATACCCCTCTCTCCCATGCCCCCAACTGTCAGTCCAGTTGCTGTCTCCTTGGGATTGTTTATCCTGCTTATCATACATATAGACAGACATCAAAAGAAAAAACAGAAAAAAGGAGAGAGAACCATACAAATAGTTCCAAGTCTAACTGTTGTCCTGACCCAGAGTAGATGAGTATCTCTCTGTTAATAGTGAGCAAGCCCTGCTATAATTCATTAGTCCAATCCCCTTTTCTTTGGGGGATTCATATCCTAGGACCCGCTTATCTAACAGCACGTATGCGCTATTAGGCCTCAGCATTTGCGACCCTGTGGCTTGCCTTCTACAAGACACCATTGTTCTTCCTGCAGTCAAGGATGGAGCAGTCTAGTGCCCCACCCCCCACGCAATTAACCACCACATTTTAAAGAAATAACAGCCTACTAAATAATACCATTGCTTTCTTAGGTCTGGTGGTTATTAATGCAATAATCTAAATGTGAAAATTTATGAGCACTAATCTTGAAAATATTTCAATCCATACTTATTATAAAGGTCTACACTTGTTGATGAAATCCCAAGCTTTATAGTTCGGATATAATTTTTTAAAATTGTATTTTCAGAAAGTGAAAGCCCATCTACTGTCTGAAAATAGAACTACAAGGTATTATAAGATTATTTTGCCTGTGGATTAATTTTAATTCCTTAAAGTTTTGTTTTGTGACTGTTAGGAATTGACACAAATAACTATAATCATCTTAGCTCATATTAAATATAAATAATTCTTAATGGAATCTTTTGAAATTTTAATCAAACCTGTCACTAGAGAATTACATTTTCCAGAATTTTTTCTTTTAGAAATTTGTGTTGAGGAGAAAGTTTCTACAGCAAATTAAGTTCCCCTTTAACATTTTTAATCCAGAATTGTTCCATGCCATTGGTTTCAGTTTTTACATAGTGTCAACATTTTTGTCACTTCCATCCTGTTTGTTCTTTCCATCGATCTGTCTTCCCTTCTCCCCTTGCTTTTGGGTAAGTGCTGACCTTTAGACCTCATGTAATTCATAGTATAAATGATACTGATACTCAGAAGTGATGCTGTTTATTTATTTCGTAATCCAATTTGTAATTTGGCTGAAAGATCACCTGCAGATATATCTTTAATTCCACATTTAAGGGTTACATTGGGGTGATAGTCTCTGGGATTCCTCTAGTCTCAGTCCACTGGGTCTGACCCTTTTTAGGAATTTAAGTTTCGGTCTAGATATTTTGCCATTTTTACCCAGGTCCTTATATTATGCCCCTTGTTGGAATAGTTGATATTGGTAGCTGGGCACCTGTCTACTTTTTCTGGTCTCGAGTTAGAAGAGGGTCATGTGAGCCATTAGTCCCACATATGCTTTCTTTTTTTAGTTTTTTGTTTCCTTCGTTCTCTTTGCTTCATATGAATAGAGACCAATGATTAAATCTTAGATAACTTCTTGTAAACTTTTAAGATCCCAGATCCATTTCACCAAATTAGAATGTAGAATATTATCTTTGTGAATGATGTTATGCCAATTGACTAAATTATTCCCCCAAGACTATGCACCCAAGCTGCTTAAACCTAAAAACCAATCCTGAGAGTTCTTTGGGTGTGTCTAGGAAGCTTCTGTAAGTGTGCCCCAGTGAGGTTTGTTATGTAGCACATACAAAAATGTATATGCAAAAAATTGTATATGCATATGCCTACAGACACCCTTTTACATGCATTTGTTCAAGTATGCCTTTCTGTATATGCATATATATCCACATTCATCTCTATAACCACATGTTTCTTGATTGTTTATAATTATTGTAAAATTGCATAAGCATAGAACTGACCAAAATTGTTTCTTTTTCCTGTGTATTTCTTAGTGTCTTTGTTTTCTTGGTCAGGTTGTGTTTACTTTATCTATATTTGGGATTGCCTTTCTCATTAACCAAAGTAATAAGTGTCTAAAGAGCTCAAAAGGATCCCCCTCTTCTCTTCCTTGCAATTTGGTAAGCACTAGAGAAATTTGATTTCTGTGGGTATACTCTTATCTATCTTTTATTTTTTGTAATTGTGAGACAAGTCTACATTTTCCTTTTTGTGATTGACTTATCTCATTCAGATTCATCCATATTGCAAAATGTTTTGTGGAATCCTTGTTATTCTTTATAATTGTATAGTATCCCACTCTATGAATGCACTACAGCTTATCTGTTCATCTGCTGTTGGGCACTTTTGCTGTTTCCATCTTTTTGCTAGAACATGTTTTTAAACCACAAATTCTCAATTAAAAGTGAATAGTTTAATGTACAGTTCTCTGCCTCTAATTGGTTATTAGTAAAAGTTATTAATGGAATGACAATGTATCCAAATAGATTTGTAGGATATGTTTAGTTAATATTAGCTAAGTTTTTTTCCAGAGTTTGAGCTTTTGGGAGATTGATTTAGGAAGAACATTGTTGAATGCAGTAGATAATTCTAACATATTTTGGTTGTTTAACCATTTGGCAGCACAACACCAATAACCTAGGGAATAAAAAAGCAGATGAGTTATCAAGAACAGCACTTGCCATTTTTTTGAGTGAGTAATAAATATCTTGGCTTGGGGCCTATAATGTAGTTTGAATTTCTGTAATAAAATAAGAGGCAACAATAATCTGCAAAAAGCAGTTATGTAAGTAATCCTGATGCCGAGCTTTGAATGGATAGATGTGCTTTGGCTGGTCTTGAAAAGTCATTTTGAGGTAAACCAGAATGCAAAAAGTGGAGCAGCACTTTACAACAGAGCATCATTTTCTATGGAATTCTGTATGGCTGACTGAATAGGAATTATTTTGCTACGTGTTTTAGTGGTCTCACTGCATTTATTTATGAACTGAAAATAAAAATCGCTATGCACATCTTGAAAGGGATCATTGATAAAAAGGACATTTTGTATGGTGTATAACTTTCTTTGTGTGTGAAACAACAACCTTTTTCTTTTTAGGGAAAAAAATGAAGATAGTAGCTTTACTGATTGTTCTGGTATTCAGACAGGCAGTACATTGAAATAATACCTTGCATGAATCTAAACTAATTGTAGCAATAAAGGACATCATACTGCAAAACATCCAACCAAAATGGGTAATAAAATAAAATACTATAGTTACATATTATGTTTTAATATTTACATATGATTAAGAACCCAAACCTTTTCTCTCCTGATAGAAAGTAGTATTTCTTTGAAGATGATTATTCACCCTTTATGACCATTCAATGTTCTGATGCTATTTATAAGGTTTACACTGGCTAGTTTAGTGTTTAGAAGTACATTGCTAGTTTTTTTTTTACTGATAGTGAAAGTGGAAATTATTGAACAATGTCGTTAAAATCACATAAAAGTAAAAAATTGCTGAAGATAATTCTAGAATTGTTGCAGCAGTACATTGACAAGGAACTGCCAGAAATTTAAGCCAGATTTGGAAGAGAAAGTAAAATGAGGGAGATAGCTGATATCAGGTGGATCTTAGTTGAAAGCAGAGAATACCAGAAAAGGCAAAAAGATGTTTACTTGTGGATTTTTCCTCCTATTTTTCTGTCCATTAAAAAACAAAAAATAAAACCAGTTTTGTTTGGACATAATCCTCATATCATACAATTCAATAGTTCAGTCA